ACAGGGAGTCTCAGCTCACTTATATTATTATATTGTTATTGTTGTTGTTTACAGGGAGTCTCAGCTCACTTATATTATTATATTGTTATTGTTGTTGTTTACAGGGAGTCTCAGCTCGCTCGTGCACGACATAGAGAAGCAGGTGAAGAACACGGAGTCTCTGTGGCACCATCTTCCCTACAGCATGTGCAACAAGGAGGACCTAGCTGCCTCCGCCAGCAACGAGGCAGAGTGCTGGAATGGAAACCAGATATCGAGGTACGTGAAACACCGCGTCGTCATCAGTGACTCCGTGTCAAATAGTGGGGACTAGGTATTGCTGTACATACGGTATTCTGATGAAGCCAATAGAAGAGTTTCAACCGACGTGCAGAATTGCCGTTCAGATTTGAACTGAGAATACGCATAGATGTGGACATGTATCAGGAGTAGATAATAAGCATAGATGTGGATATGTATCAGGAGTAGATAATAAGCATAGATGCGAATATGTATATTACGTAGTGTGAACGATAAGTGAATCGGGTGAGGGGATGTTTTTGAGTGACGATTCGACGAAAAGAGGCAGCAGTGGGAAAGCAAGGTCCGATCGAACGAAAAGCGGAGGGGCGGGGCGACGATCGACCGATGAGTTCACATGAGAACTCACCTGTGCCCATCCGAACTCACCTATACTCACTTGTATCTACCTGTACTCACCTGTACTCACCTGTGCTTGCCCTCTGTGTGTTGCAGCTACCTGCCGGAGGTCGTTGGCAACGGGCTGGAGCTGCAGAACAACAACCCAGAGGTGGAGGTGGACCTGACGCAGCCGAACGCCGTCGTCAGCCAGCAGGTGCTCACGCTGAAGCTGATGTCAGCGCGCCTCACCCACGCATACAACGGCATCGATGTCGAGTGGATGGACACAGGTAAGCCGCTGACCGCTGTGTGTGTGTGTGTGTGTGTGTGTGTGTGGGGGGGGGGTGCAATAGCTGAAATAGCAGCAGACATTGCTAGGAGTAGCCAGCGTGGTAGTAAGCATTAGCTAACCTAGCAGACGTTGGTAGCAGTAGCTAGCAAAGTAGTAAGCATTAGCTAACTAGCAGACGTTGGTAGCAGTAGCTAGCAAAGTAGTAAGCATTAGCTATACTAGCAGCAGACATTTGTAGAAGTAGCTAGCAAAAGTAGTAAGCATTAGCTAACCTAGCAGACGTTGGTAGCAGTAGCTAGCAAAGTAGTAAGCATTAGCTAACTAGGCAGCGACATTGGTAGCAGTAGCTAGCAAAGTAGTAAGCATTAGCTAACCTAGCAGACATTGGTAGCAGTAGCTAGCAAAGTAGTAAGCATTAGCTAACCTAGCAGCAGACATTGGTAGAAGTAGCTAGCAAAGTAGTAAGCATTAGCTAACCTAGCAGACATTGGTAGAAGTAGCTAGCAAAGTAGTAAGCATTAGCTAACCTAGCAAGCAAGACATTGGTAGAAGAGCTAGCCCAAGTAGTAAGCATTGCTAACCTAGTGCAAGACGATTGGTAGGCAGTAGCTAGCAAATAAGCTAATGGCATAAGCTAAACGGGCTAGCAGCAGACATTGAAAATACTAGCAAAAGTAGTAAGGCATTAGCTAACGCTAGCATACATTGGTAGGCAGTAGCTAGCAAGTAGTAAGGCATTAGCTAAGCGCTAGCAGGCAGACATTGATGAATGTACTTAGGCAAAGTAGTAAGCATTAGCGCTAACCTAGCAGTGCAGACATTGGTAAAAGTAGCTAGGCAAAGTAGTAACATTAGCTATACTAGCAGCAGATCATTGTCTAGGAAGTAGGCTGGCAAAGTAGTAAGCATTCAGCTAACCTTAGCAGACATGGTAGAAAGGTAGCTAGCGAAAGTAGTAATGCATTAGCTTAACCTAGCAGCAACATTGCTAAGAAGTAGCTAGCAAAGTAGTAAGCATTAGTCTAATCGCTAAGGGCAGGCAGATCATTGGTTATGCAGTAGCGTGGCAAAGTAGTAAGGCATGTAGCTAACGGCTAATTGCAGCAGACATTGGTATGAGTAGCCAGCGTGGTAGTAAGCATTAGCTTAACCTAGGCTAGGTCAGACATTGGTAGAAGTAGCTGCAAGTAGTCAAGGCATTAAGCTAACGCTAGCAGCAGACATTGGGTAGAAGTAGCTAGCAAAGTAGTAAGTATTAGCTAACCTAGCAGCAGACATTGCTACTAGTAAGCAGTAGCTAACCCCTCAGCTGTCATTAATTATTACCAGTAAACAACAACTAACCCCTCTACAGTCAATAATCACTCGCAGTAAACAGTAGCTAACCCTAGCGGCAGCAGCTGCAGCCTCTATGACATTCTCCCCATGCTGACTCCGCCTCCCCCTCTCTCTCGTGCAGCTCACATCCAGACGGAGGCAGACAAGCAGCGTGAGGTGTACACAGCAAGCGGCAGCGGCAGCGGCGATGGCTATGATGACAACGATGATGAAGATGGCGACCCGAGGCACAGCGGAGGCAGCGGTTACTATGACGACACCTACGTAGACGGCATCGAGGGCACAGGTACGTGTGGCTCCCTTATGTGGCATCGCGACAATGTACTATTGTGATGATGTATTTAGGGGGGCGATATACTAACGTCACAATGCACTAATATGATGATGTATTAAGGGAACAATGAGCTAACGTCACAATGCACTAACATGATGATGTATTAAGGGAACAATGAGCTAACGTCACGATGCACTAACTAACCGTGCCGTCATTGTTGTTGTTGTTGTCTGCAGGTGATGGGGAGCCGTCGTATGGTGAGGACCGACGTTCCAACCAACCCGACTCCGAGTTTGACTTCACGTTACACCCGACTGCAGAGGCGCCCCCTCGTGGTCACCCCTCCAACACACCGCGCCGGCGCCCTGACAGTGGCGCTCCCCACCAGGCGGCGCTCGCGTCCTCGCTCCTGCTGCTGCCTCTCGTCGTCGCCGCCGCGTCGCGCTGGTGATCGCCCGCCTTGTGGTGCCCCCTGCCGGCGGCACGACGAACACACCGCCTTGTAGTGCCACCTCGTGGCAGCAGTCCGAATCGGCGCGGCCACCGCCGCCGCGTCCTTTATAAGTCAAACAAGTAATCGTCAGCAATAATCGTGATTCACCGAGCGGCGAGAGAGTGCACGTGAGCGAGTGAGTGATGAGCGAGCACGCGCGTCCACGCCTCGCCTCGCCGCCCCTACAGGAGCCTTATACCCGCACACAACGCACCGGCGCTTTCATTGACTTTGTGCCCGCGCGGGAGACAACAAGACGAGAGACCGGAGAGAGGAGGAGACAAGAAACAGGATGATGAAACATAAAAAATAGAGGAGGACATGACAATGACTTCTTGTGGGTTTATTTGTCGTTAGTTGTTCGACGATCGAAGTCTGCGTGGTACCGCCGCCGTCACCGCGGGAAGGGCTGGACCCGCAGGATCCACGCGTGAGCAAAGCGCGGCGACGCGGCCGGGGGCGTGAACCCCATAGGGCGCTACCGTGCGAGCGACGCACGGTCGCGTCGCCCGGATGGCGCCAGCGCATGGTCGGCACGCAATCAGGTTGTGCGTATGTAGGTGGCGCCATCGCCAATAAGGTTCGTGCGAACGTAGGTGGAGCCACCGTGGACGCGACACGTGGTCCGGTTGTTGTGTAGAATGTAGGTGGCGCTGCGCAGTCGGGTTGTGACGTGTCGACGGTTGTGCGGAGTCCCTTGTCCTCGTATAAATAGATTCTTAGAAAGGGGGGGAAACGCGTGCGACCCTCACGCAGAATCACGTGTGAATTTTAACAGACGAGGGAGATGATCGCGAGAGAGCATTTGTGAGAATTATTTTTATTTATATACACATATATATATTACACGTACGTGTATTAATAGCGAGAGTGTGTCGAGAGCGGCGCCCGTGTGTGCGCCCTCTAGCGGGAGCTATTAGTAGACGTATGAATTCAGTTGGCAGCTGTTGAGCAACTGTTTTAGTTTGTGAGTTTTAGAGAGCGTACTTCCCCCGCGGCGGCAAGCATTCGACAACCGCCGCGTAATCGAGCCAGTCGTAAAATTATTTTTTAGAGTCGCGAACACGCGAGACGGATCGTAGATTTCACGCGGCGGGGGGACGACCTTCGAAGCGCCGTAGAGGTCGTACGCCATCGCCGATCGTGGGAAATTATTTTAGAGGGGGTTTTAAGAGTATTTTAAAGCCGAATTTGTTTTTAAAGTTGCCCCCACTAGTGATACCTCGCGACGTGGTCAGACAAATGCAGAGGTTAGCTCCAGTAAATTCATCTGTGGGTGGGTGCACCCGTCTCCACAGTCTCTTCTTACGAATCATGATGCTCTCTCTAACGGAGGCCGTTTTGTACTTTTATACTCAGGTGAAGAAGTCAATCGGACCAATGTGTGTGTCAGTATCTCTAGCCAAACGAACAAACAAACTCGTAAACAAAATAACGATAAGCGGGCGTGGTTGCGTCGCCTCGTCGCACGCGTGTCATTTTTATGTGAATCGTGATAAAACCCGTGCGATGAGAACATTTTTTAGTGAAACAAAAAGGTTTAGCGGGCATGTTGACTCCGCTTGCGGAGAAAAGGTGGCGCTAGCATTTTGGAGCGGAGCGTTCCGGAAAGCGTTTTTTTCTTTTTGTAATACTACACAAACTGCGAGCTTCTTGTTATGTATGCTTATTATATGTAGAGAGAGAGTGCCGGGACCCTGTCGGTACATCGTCACTGTTAGTGTACGTAGCAGCGTCGATGACATGAACGTCTGTAAACTAGCGAGTGTAATTGCCATGAATATATCGTCTGCACGGCACGCGCGCGTTTCGCCCCCTGGTGGCACATGCGCGTTTAGTTTCAGATTTCGCCGCCAGGTGGCTAGCTTTTGTTCGCTTAGCTAGGCTAGGCCTTCCACGAGTCTTTGTCGTGTACGCACGTACGTTCACTGCACTGAGGCCGATTCGTGCGGTCGGTGAATTTGCGACTAGCGGCGCGCCCTGTTGTCGGGGTGGCGACACATTTCATAGATGTATGTGTGTGTGTGTGTGTGTGGCATCCGAAGCTGGGGTGCTCTCACACTCGTCTGGGTGCCTTGCCTCACTCTCTCTCTCTATCTATCTATCTATACCGTGTTTGTAAGCGATTCTGCGAAAGCGCACCGACGCAAGGTGTGATGCGGCGCGGTGCGCATGCACGCGCAAGTGTCCGTGTGTTGTCGTCAGTGTAAACAACTAGATTTTAAAGAAGAGTTTGTAATTACGTAGCAAGAGGTTTTAATCGGGGAGGGGGAAGGGGGGCGTGTGTTTTTTAAACGAGGGCGGTCGCGTCGTCGGAGAATTAGGGAGTCGCGTTTGAAATTATAGTTCTCACGTTGTGTTGATGGTTCCCTCTCTCTCAGCCATTATCTGCCATATTACTGATACGTCACTGACGTCAGAGTCCACGTCCTCCCAGATGGCAGCACCGGCATCTCGCGTCCTTCCCGGGGGAAAGATGCGGCACCAGTGCTCCGAGAAACGGAGCACCCGTGGATTTATCTGGAATTCGCTCCCCCACCCCATCCTTTGTTTTTACTTTACCTTTCCTTATACCGAGCATTTATGGACACGTGCGTACTGTTGCGTCCTCCCGTACATAGGGGGCAGCACGTGCGCATCCCACCTCCAAGCCAATGAACTATGTATATATTATATATATATATATATATATATATATATATATATATACATGTATGCGTGTAGATCAGGGGTTGACGCTCGTGTCGTCTCTACCTGTGTATCTTGCTCCTTGCGTGCAGGGGGGTGTAACGAGAGCTAGGTGTTCGGTGTTTGCCGGGGACGTGGTACTCTGGGCTCAGCTGGGGGGGGGGGCGACTTTACTTATTGTATATAGGTTGTTGTACCGTTCTTGTTCTTACTGTATTTGTTCCAATACGCGAGAGCGGAGCAACAGAGAAGCGAAGAGGTAGAGATGCATCCGACTGTACTGCGTATTACTTACAACTGCTGTTACCCTGTTCTATCCTCGCGCTGACTCGCGCGTGTGCGTGCTTGTACTGTTGCATATTTATTATTAGTAGTAGTAGTGTAGCGTGCTATCTGTAGGTGAGAAACTTTCCACGCTGAGATTGACACTGTTTTTGTTCCCGCTTGCAAGAGAATAACCTCACAACCTCGTAACGTAGATTCACCAAAGTCGCAGCGAAGAAGGAGACATTCTTGTTGTTGCATGTCTTGGGAGGAGAAGGATATTGTAAAGGTCGTCACTAACAACGTAAAGTTGACCGTTTAGAAATTTCTTTCGATTCTCGTCGCAGTCGTTTCGGAAGCGGGAATTTTTTTCTGGGAGCAAAACGTAAGAGGATGTCGAAATTCTTTTACAATTCGCGTTAACGTTACGTTTTAACGCCCACTCGCGTTTCAACAGCATGATACTATAGTGACAGTCTCTACGGAAGGGGTTACATCTGAGAATGGCATGTGAAGGACCACGTACTTTCATCTCTCCCCCAACTCTCCCAGTATCACCCGGCCTCCGTGTGTGCGCGTCTGTACGTCTTTGTAATTTATGGTTGGCCGCCGCTAAAGATGCGCGGTTCAGGTTCGAAAAAATGTTGTACAATTTTTGGACAATGCCAGTATATTATTTGTGTGTATGATATAGCGTAGCGAGCGCCTACTCTGTACACGGAATTGTAATCGCTTACCATTCGACGACCGTGTGACGTATGCGTTGCGTGACCTCGTGACTTTCCCTCGCTGACCCCCCCCCCCCGCTCTTCGGGCCCCTGCTCCTTAGCGCTAAGGATGAAATAGCATCACCTATAGTGCAAGAATCAGAGAGCACGAGCAGCTGGTGATATCACTAACAGTCGAGACGGGTAGCGAAGTCACGGCTGGTGGCAATTTTATCCTTTGGCCACGTTTTCAACAGTGTGCGTTAACAGTTAGCTACCCTACTGTTTGCCGGGTTACGTTAATCCATCTAGGAGCCAAGATGAAACGCTCGCATCGTTGTACGCTGATCTATGGTTTTTTGGTGTAATGGATGAAGTCTTGATAGTCTTCCGGCACAGAGGGGAGGGGGTCGTGGAGCGCCTGCGAAGGGAAGGGGCCACTATGGAGGGCAATGGTCGTAGGTACGCGAATGTGTGGTAGGCAGGTTTCTGTAAACGTTGTCAAGTTATTTAACAGGACCAATTTTAAAATAAAAAACGTGTTTATATTGAAATCGAGTTTTTTTGCGTATTGCATCCGTTGTTGTTGTTGTTGCTGCCCGCTGCAGGTGGCGTTGTTGTGCACAATGAGCGCTTTCCAGGAATTGTTAAAGGGACGGTTTCTTTATGTATGAGCCTGCGGTATTGTAATCTGGTGAGAATTTTTATCGTCTTACGTTTCCCATTTAATTGTGTGAATATATAAGTCTCAAAGCAGTACGGCTATATTCCCTATAAGACCGTCAATCCGGACCTGCTGGGGCCACTAATGGCGTTGTATTAGGTAGCTACGATCACGACAGTAATAGAAGGTAGCCAAAATTTTCTAATTTATATATCGTAGAGCACATATATTAAGGACGCTTCCTTACTCATATTAATTACTATACGCTAAATTCAATAATTAAAAGGCGCCAACGCTATAACATATAAATAGTACCATTGCAGCGTATAAAGTGGTAGTTAAGGTCTTCAGGTGAGATATATGTGACCGCTAGAGGCATCACCATCCAATGACATAAGAGGCCTACAACAGTAACGCCGCCGCAAATTGTTTCACGGGATCCGATAACTCTGTAGAAATCCGTCAGAGTGCCAGAAGTTTCAGAAGGCGGAAGGATAGAGCTTGGAATCCGTGTAGTTTTGTGGAAAAAAAAATCTTGTATTACACACAAACAAGCAGTTTATTATCTCTTAGCCGTGCCAGTATTTCAACATAGCCATGCGAGGCATTTGAGCAAAATAGACCTGGCCGACCGATGTGAGAAATATTATACGCGCGCATTATATAAATGAATCACGTGAACTTTCGTCACGGCGGCAGACGGGCTTACTGCACTACAGAATATATCACGGTCCAGTATACGTACGTGCCAGAAGCGTCGCGCCATGTTCTCTGCTGCGTTTTTGTACGTCGAAATTTCGAGCTGTGGACAACTGCGAATAGGATATCATAATTTATAGCTAACAGTGAGTTCTTGGCTCACTGAAGCTTCCGTAGCGTGTATAATTTCCATATTAATTCATGTCGTTCACGATCGTTAATTACAGCATATAAATAGATTAATCAGGACAACACACACCATACCTGAATGAGTTCAATATGTATGCATTGTAGTACCTTTCGATGGCGTTTAAGTACATAAAGATGGCGTGGTTATTGTATAAAGTACTGTAGCGACAGGCAATAATTACGGTAAAGTCTATATGTCAGTCAGTCTCTCCTTGCTCATTCTCCGCTTACTATCTACAGGCTCTAAGCTCAACAATAAACCACAGAGAAATTATAATATACGCATCAAAAGTTATTTTTGGGTCAGCTCACCAGATTGAGGACACGGAAATTATCACGTTTGCGGAGGCAGGCGCGTGCAACGATTAAGTGGCACCGGTCTCGCAGTTGAACAACCAAGAGTGCACAGAGAATACGATAGGTGTTTTATGATGATAATATATATTATAATTATACAACATTAATATTATATAATTATGTGCATATACAAAACAGTATTTATTATCTCTTTCAATCTGTCAGACCGGGCAACATTGCCAGATAGTCTCATATGCGAGTCAATCACCGCCTGATTATTCTCCACTTTTCGTTTTCCAAGTCATCATGAAACCAGTATATTAAATTCGGCACGTGCAAATTCTCAGTGCCGAATTAACGTCGCTGAAGACACGGGAATTCGCATGTTTTCGAGGCAACGTCTTGCCACCCTGCGCCAGTCGAGCATACCAAACAGGTTCATTACACACGTAGGTATATTTATTATAGCTAAAGCATAATATGTTATGAATATCGTTATGAATCGCTGTGTTTTCTAGGCATTAGCGATTGTTTGCGGTAGCAGTATATATGTGTGGTACAAGTGTATATATATGGTAATATTAACTCATCGCGTTATTATGGTTTATAGTGCAAAATGAAAGGAAGTTCCTAATAAATTAGACTAGATATGCATAATGTATTCTCAAACGAAATTTTAAAAGCGTTTTATTCGTAACTCGCTCTGTGCACTTTGAGAGTATCTTGACGCGGCTACGTGTATTAAACGTGATGCACATTAGAAAGATGAGAGAGGTGGGAAGAGAGGAAAGAGAGAGAGTGCGAGAGACGAGATGCGAGGCGTACGAGCGACAGAGAGGTGGAAAGGAGAGTGGAACGAGCGAGCGAAGAGAGGGAGAGATAGAAAAGCTGCAGAGAGAGAGAGAAAGAACGAGGGCAGGGAGAGGGAGAGTAAAGATCACGCGCGCGCGAGAGAGAGAGAGAGTGACGGAGGCGAGCGAGGCGACAGAGAAAGAGCAGGGGAAAAGGGGAGAAGTAGATGACATGCAGAAGAGGGAGAGAGTGAAAGCGCGCACGAGAAGAGGGAGAGAGAGATCACGAGAGAAGAGAGAGAGAGAAAGGAAGAGAGAGAGATCAAACAGAGAGAGAGATAAGAGAGATGAAACAGAGAGAGGGGGAGGAAGGAGCGAGAAAGGAAGAGAGAGAGAGAGACAGAAAGAGGGGAGGAGCGAGAGAGAGAGAGAGAGAGAGAGAGAGAGAGAGAAGAGAGAGAGAAGAGCAGAGAGAGACGTGCAAAGAGACAGAGACACACATCACCACAGAGACGTGCAGCAGAGAGAGCGAGAAAGAGAGGAGAGAGCAGAGGAGAGAGAGAGAGATGAGAGAGAAGCGAGTAGAGAGAGAAGAAATAGAGACAGCGCGAGGGGAGAATAAGACACGTAGAGAGAGAGTAGAGATATATAGAGACATAGATAGAGCGAGATAGATAGAGAGATAGAGAAGAGAGAGAGATAGAGGACGATAGAGAGAGAGAGAAGAGAGAGAGAAGAAGAAGAGAGAGAGAGAGAGAGTAAGAGGGAGATAGAGAGAGAGAGGAGAGAGAGAGAGAGAGAGAGAGAGAGAAAGAGAGAGAGAGAGAGAAAGAAGAGAGAGAGAGAGAGAGAGAGAGAGAGAGAGGGAGAGAGAGAGAGATCAGAACTGAGAGCGGAGAGTACAGAGAGCGAGAGAGCCGAGGGCGAGGCGAGTGCAAGAGAAAGGGGAGAAGCGCACAGAGACGATAGGAAGGGACAGCCAAGAATCAGAGCGCTAGAAGAGAGCGAGCAGAGACAGCGAGAGAGAGAGAGAGAGAGAGAGAGTAGAGAAGAGAGAGGAGAGAGAGAAAGCGGAGAAAGAGAGTGCGAGAGAGAGAGAGAGAGAGGAGAGAGAGAGAGAGAGAAGATAGAAGAGGAGATAGAGAGAGACGAGAGAGTGAGAGAGAAAGAGGGGATAGTAAAAACAAAACATCATGTCAGTCGCGAACTAAATCCGTCATCCTCCTTCGTTGGCGAATTCATATTAATTTCAATGGCACATAAAATGATTCGGCCAGTGGCCACGCCGCGCCGTAGCGGCGGATAAACATACAGAGGACACGGAGATTCGACACGTTGTTCGAATTGACAAGTTGAATCGACACTCGGCTGTGCTTTGTACGCTACTTGTATAAGGTGAGCATATTAGGAGAAGATTGAGAATGGAAGAGAGAAAGAGAAAGAGAGGAGAAAGCGCGAGACGACAGAGAGTGCGAGGCGAGCGACGGCGCGAGAGTGGGAAACGCGAGGCGAACCGGCGAGCGAGAGAGGGATAGAAGATAGCAGCAGAAAGAGAGGAGGAAAGAGAGAGGCAAGGAGCAAGAGGAAAGAAGAGAGAGAGAGCTAGAGAGGAGAGACACGAGAGAGAGAGAGAGAAGAGAGAGAGAGAGAGAGACGGCGAGAGACAGAGAGAGCACGAGAGAGAGAGAGGAGAAGAAGAGAGAGAGAAAGAGCAAAAGAAGAGAGAGCGAGGAGAGAGAGAGAGAGAGAGAGAGAGAGAGAGAGAGAGAGAGAGAGAGAGAGAGAGAGAGAGAGAGAGAACACGAGAGAGCGAGAGCCAGAGAGAAAGGGGGAGAGAGCGAAAGACAGAGAGAAAGGGGGAGAGAGCGAGAGACAGAGAGATAAGGAGG